CCCCCCCCCCCCCCCCCCCCCCCCCCCCCCCCCCCCCCCCCCCCTGGGTGGGTGGGGGATGGGGATAAAATCACTTACCATTAGAGCTCTTGTGAAGACAATCAATACCCAATCTTGAGTTGTTGGTAGTTGCTTGTTGTGCCTTGACTTCAGCCAATGTTTCAATGGGCGACAAACCAGAGTTCTCTGCAAGAGCAAGAGGAGTGGCATCCAAAGCATCTGCAAATGCACGCATAGCATATTGTTCAATGGAAGAGATCTATATAAAAAAGCATGTCAGCAAATGGGATCACTAGAGAGAGAGAGCGAGAGAAATGGAGAAATACATACTTCATCGGCAACCTTGGCAACTGCCAAAGAGCAGCTGATTTCGGCAGCACCACCACCATATACAACACGGTTGTCACGAACCAAATTGCGAACAGCACAAATGGCATCATGCAATGATCGTTTTGCTTCATCGATAATCTATCCAAAAATACATGTCTATCAGCGGGCATGTATAATAGCGCAAGTTTTGGCCTGATGATTTACCATTTTGTTTCCACCACGCACAAAGACGGTGACTGCACGGCTGTTGGCACATTCTTCAATGACGAGCATACGATCCTTGGTGGTGCCAAATGCAAGTTCACGAACGACACCAGCCTTACCAAGCTTTTCAGGGGTCAAATCCTCGAAACGGGGAACAATGCGACCATTGGTAGCGATGGCAATAAGTTCAATCTCAGGGCCACCCACCCATCTCACGGCAGGAAGCTCGTTTTGCAACAACAAGTGATTGGCTTCATCATCGAAACCCCACTGACAAATGACAAGGTTGGCACCAGAGTCCTTGACCTTCTTGATCATGTCCTCAAACTTGCTCTTTTCATATTCCTGTAGCTTTTTGTATTCCTCAACCGAAGTGATATCGAGCTTATGCTTGGTCTTGGGCCGTGGGGGTTCAAATGCACATGTAAGAATAGCGAGCTTGGCGTCATGGACTTCACGAGGCATTTGTGGATGTGACATGTCCTTATCAACTACAACACCATGAACCAAAGTAGTGTCTTGAAGAGAGCCACCCATCTTGCCATCCACCTTGATCAACTCAAAGTCAACATCTTTGCGATCCAAATCGGCCACGGAAAGAACAGCATCGACAGCAATATCGGCAAATTGTTCATGGCACTTGGACACACTATACATGCATATGAATAAGTCCTCGTATCTCCCAACCAACCAACCAACCAAAGACTTACATTTTACTACCAAGACTGGTCATGGCAATCTTTTTCAAGTTTTCAGTGTTGTCCTTGCTGAATTCGATGGTATCAGAGATCTTGTCGAGATGCTCAACGGCGACATTGCAAGCACGTTCGAAACCGTCAGCGATACGGATGGGGTGAATACCACGATCAAGAAGTTGTTCACATTGTTCCAACAAAGCACCAGCCAATACTACCATCCACGCACCAACACAAAGAGTCAATAACAATGGGACACATCCCTATAACAATGATCCACACACTTACCAACAACACCGGTAGTGCCATCACCAATTTCGTCATCTTGACTCTTGGACAATTGCACCAACAACTTGGCGATTTGATGTTCGACTTGCATTTGATCCAAGATAGTGGCACCATCATTGGTTACGGTGATATCACCATCAGGAGAAATAAGAATCTTGTCCAATCCTATAATACATGATCCAATAAGTCATATGGATGCTTAACAACGACCTATCTCTCCCATACCTCGGGGACCAAGGGATGTTCTGATAATGTTGGATACTGTCTTTGCTGCGAGGATATGCGACTATAGTACAACTTTGTATCAGTATCTTGCAACTCTTATAGTGACAACGGGATTGCACCAAGTCAAGCTTTCAATCGGGCTTGGATGACTCCAGATCGGCCCTGTATTGACAAGTAGATGCACGCGCTGTTTTTTTTCTTTGCTGCTTACCCGAATTGCTTCGATGCCGGAAAGACGCGACTTTCTTTGGCCTTCACGGACAATGATGAAAGGTCTGCCATATTCATCGGTGGCGTAAACCGCGGAATTGGGGTCAATGTTGGGAGGAGCTTGGGCAGCCATCGAGATTGCGGGATGAAAAAAGAGTTAGGTGTAAAGGAGAAGCTCAACGTGCGCGTCAACCGATATTTTGACAGCGGAGCCCACCCAACCTTTAGGCCGACTCTCTCTCTCTCTGTGTACGCCAAAAACGTATACTTTCCATCCCTTCCCCCTTCCCCTCCCCCTTATACATCATCATCATACTTGTAATCTTTTTAAATAGCGGACGTTGCCAAGGATACAATAAAATGAGATCGAGGAAACGCGATGGATACCATACAATGTTTGATAGCAACGTGGATGGCAGTGGCTGATTATTAACTCCTGTGTGCGTACAACAACATATGTCCTTATACCGGAAAAAGAGATAGGTTCCATGTGTTTTTTACTTTGAAGCAGCAAATGATATCTCTATGGATACTACATACTACATGACTCCCCCCCAAAGCATTATAACAAAACGTCGCTGTAGCCTCTACCGGTTGAATGGCCGTTGTTGTTATCATCATCATTAGGATCATATTCTTTCATGAAAGAATGCTGTTGGATCGCTTGTCGACCATGCTACATCGCTTTGGATATGCTGCAATGTTTGATGAGACTGCTGTGTATCATGTCGTGGAATTTTAGGTTATCTCAGGCGTGTGTGTGTGTGGGCAAGTTAAAGACAGCGCTGTCAGCTTGTCAAACCTCTATCGCGTTCATCTCTTTTCCAAATGGCTGAAGTTGCCAAACCCACTCCTGCAAAGACAAGCTTCCAAGACAAGGAAAAGCCCACCGAGGTGCGTCTCAGCAACATTCTGGCCGCCAAGGGTAAATGTCACAAGCGTCAACTTTTTGACGTGCCTTGCCATGTCACACACACAACACTCACAACTCACAACACGATCTTGACACACTCTTATAGCTGTTGGTGATGCCATTCGTACATCGCTCGGTCCTCGTGGTATGGATAAAATGGTACGATCAACACAACTCGACGATGCCTAGATCACCTCCTGATGCCCACGTCAAACTCGTTCCTAGATTCAAACCAGCAATGGTGAAGTAGTCATCACCAACGACGGTGCCACTATCTTGAAACATATGGCTGTTCTTCATCCTGCCGCAAAGATGGTAATAGCAATCTCATGTTTATTGACACATTGGATCATAAGACTGATATACTCTCTCTATGTATATCATAGCTTGTCGATTTGTCTGCAGCTCAAGATGTCGAAGCAGGTGATGGTACCACCTCGGTTGTGGTTCTTTGCAGCTCGATGCTTTCTGCTGCCGAAAAGATGTTGAACAAGGGTAATAAGGAATGGGGATATGGATTATGGACGTGTCTGGGATGTTAATGGGTGATGGTTTTTAGGTATTCATCCTACTACAATCGCCGAGTCATTCCAACGTGCTGCACAAAAGAGCGTCGAGTTTCTTACCGAGTTGGCTACTCCACTTGATTTGGCCGATCGTGAATCTCTTTTAAGAGCTGCATCCACTTCATTGAATTCCAAGGTAATCATTGGCTGTGTGATGTTTCATGCATCATGATCTCGTTACTGATTCATGCATAGATTGTCTCCCAATATTCCTCTTTGCTTGCCCCTATCGCCGTGGATGCCGTCACCCGTGTCATTGATCCTGCTTTTGCCGATAACGTCAACGTCAAAGATATCCGTGTCGTCAAGAAGGTCGGAGGCACCATTGATGATACCGAACTTGTCGATGGCTTGGTGCTCAATCAAAATGTGGTCAAGAGTGCTGGTGGTCCTACTCGCGTTGAAAAGGCCAAGATTGGCTTGATTCAATTCCAACTTTCTCCTCCCAAGCCTGATGTAAGTTCGAGAAAACAAAAACAAGTGGCCAAAAAACCATCCACTCATATTTTCATCATCATAGATGGATAACCAAATTGTGGTCAATGATTACCGCCAAATGGATCGTATTCTCAAAGAGGAACGCCAATACCTTCTCAACATGTGCAAAAAGATCAAAAAGTCCGGATGCAATGTCTTGTTGATTCAAAAGTCGATCCTTCGTGATGCTGTCAGCGATTTGGCTCTCCACTTTTTATCCAAGCTCAAGATCATGGTGGTAAAGGATATCGAACGTGATGAAATCGAGTTTATTGCCAAGGTATGTTTTAATGGCTATTCCGGATCTATTGTTTTACTAATCATAACCTGATTAGTCTCTTGGATGCAAACCTGTTGCCGATGTTGAATCATTTACAGACGACAAGCTTGGCTATGCTGACTTGATTGAAGAAGTTGACTCGGCTGGATCTAAAATCGTCAAGATCACTGGCATGAAGAATGCTGGCAAGACCGTATCAGTGTTGTGCCGTGGTGCCAATTCGCTTGTTCTTGAAGAATCACATCGCTCACTTCACGATGCCTTGTGTGTTGTCCGTTGTTTGGTTAAGAAAAAGTAAGTACAAAAAGGGGACTGAATGCGGCATCTAGATATTAAGTGTCCTTGTTTCCTTCAGGGCATTGATCGCAGGTGGTGGTGCACCAGAAATTGAAGTATCACGGAGATTGATGGAATATGCAAAGACGCTCAAGGGCATGGAGCAATATTGTTTCCAGGCTTTCGCTGAGTCCTTGGAAATTATTCCTACAACCTTGGCTGAGAATGCTGGCTTGAATCCTATTTCTATTGTCACTGAGCTTCGAAACAAGCACGCACATGGTGAATTGACTGCTGGTATCAATGTCAAGAAGGGTACAATCACCGATATCCTTGAAGAGAACGTCATCCAGCCATTGTTGGTTTGCACTAGCGCTATGGAACTTGCTGCAGAGACCGTCAAGATGATCTTAAAGATTGATGACTTGGTACGTGGTCGCTTTTTTTCTATCATGTATACAACGAATGGGTTCTTACGATTATTGCTTTTAGGTTCAAAGCCGATAGATTGCTATTATACTACCAAATCTCTTTGTAATAAACACAACACACATGGAATAGAAGTTCTGCTTTATTTGATCCACATCCTGTTAGCGTGTAAGATCATTATTTCATAGGTAGCGTTAAGTCATTAGCAATTTACGCCGATAAGCTCGATGCTCGAGGAATGTTATACGTAAAAAGAGGGATACTGCTATGATGCATGAGTAAGAATGGATATATTTGGTTGAATTCTTTACACAACATTGAGGAAGGACAAGAAGCTAAGGTATGCCTGTATGTATATAAAGGTAGTAGGGGTGAAACTATAACGTAAAAACCACTATTGCTGAAATGCTACTGCATCTTGTGCCTCCAATTTTGGGCCAGTTAATGGGGTACCGAGATATTGAGCACCATCGACGTTATCGACATTATGGAACTCGAGGATTTCCGAATACATCATCACTATAAAATAAAGCCTGTAAGGCCATTTGCTATCCCACATACCCTATGCTACTATTTACCTTTCCACGTATCCACGGGCAAATCTGCTTCATTGAATGACCAATCAAATTTTTCACCAGCAACAGGTTCATCTGATGGATCATGGTATGGTGCAAGATAAGGGTGTTCGAGAGCTTCCATAGCACTGATACGTTTGCGAGGATCAAATGTGAGCATCTTTTCAAGCAAATCGATAGCTTCAGGATCTTGGACTGCAAAACGTTGACTAAAGGGGATAGGATCACGTTTGGGAAGGTTCTTGACAAAGCGTAGAGTCTAGATTTTTATCCGATTAGTAGGAGAGGTAGATATCACATGATGTGTGCGTGTGCATCGGTTACCCACGTTTTCGCTGCAGATGGTGGCGATCACGTCATCTGGAGGTGTGCCCAAAAGCTCGGTGATAATTGAGAACTGGTGAACATCTATATGGTGGGTGGGTCATCGGTTAGGCTCGGCGGGTTTCCATTTTCGGCTTAGCATGATCCTGCTACTCACGATCTTTTCCTGGGAACAATGGATTGCCTTCCAACATCTCGGCAAAAATGCAACCAGCACTCCATATGTCGACTTTTAACATCCATTAGAAACATCCAAGATTGCCACTTCATATCCAATACCCTACCTGCAACATCATATTTTTGCCATGTCAACATGATTTCGGGTGCTCGATAATATCTTGTAGATACATAGCCTGTCATTTGAGGGTCTTGAATACGAGCAAGTCCAAAGTCGCAGATCTTTAGGTCACAATTCTCATTGATCAAGATGTTGCTTGGTTTCTGGATTTGACAATGTGATTAGGTTGCTGCATGCATGATTTATATGCGATGATGTATTATAAAATCTCACTCACCAAATCACGATGGATGACGCCTGCCGAATGCACATATTTCAAACCTCTCTAAAATATGATCATGTCAGCAAGTCGAATTGCCAAGCAATCACTGCTCCTAATACTTGCCAAGATTTGATATAAAAAGTACTGTATAAATTGCTTTTCCAAAGGACGCGATTGGAGTAATCGATGCAAATCGGTGCCAAGAAGCTCGGTGACAAAGTATCTGCAAGCACTCATCAATGGCCCATTTCACCACCACCAACAATCATGCTACTACGACTACTACTTACATGTCCTCCAAAGGTGAGATGAAAATGTCACTGAGACTGATAATCTATGTATTAGGTACATTTTGAGTAGGTTGTCAGTGAACTTGCTCCTTTTCTTGTTTATCGCTCGCTGTTCTTTACACCCCCAAACCTCCTTATGATATCACCCCACATGGCGTTTTGTTGTGTGTCCTCCCACCTGTAACCGGTCCTTCCAACTTACGTTTTCATGTCGTAGTGCCTTGAGTAACTTGAGCTCTCGATAAGTGCGTTTGGCTAATACAGGAGCAGAGAATGGTTTCATGATCTTTTTGACAGCTGTGCTCATTCCTGTTAACTGATCCTTGGCCGAGCTATCGGGTGGTGGATATCATCCATCAGTGGTTGTATTCTTCATCATGCATGATGTCGCTTTTGTAAATTACCAAACAAGACCAAAGGCACCCATGCCCACAGGTTGTAAATCCACGTATCTTGCAATGGGATTAGTTTACCGATAAAGATGTAGAGATGGTTACAGTGATTTTTACCTGGTAGTAACTTCAAAGACGGTACCAAAGATGGATAATTTGACGAATTCGGCCATGGTTGTTGTTGTTTAATAAGGAGGAAATGATGATGATGATGATGTGAGTGGGGGATGGGAAGGAACAAGGAGAGAAGAAGAAAGAAAGCAAAAAAAGGTGGAAATGAAACACGCAGGATTGAAAACGGGCGTTGTTGTTGGGTGTTGTTGCTGCAGAAATCGTCATAGTTCAACATTTGAGTTGGGCGGCCCGAGTCGATCCGCATTTTACTTTTTTTGTACCCTCTCTCTCTCTCTTTTTTTTATGCTACTTGTGGATGGATGGTCACCAAGTGTTGCTACTTGCTAAGAAGCCTGAACCTTCCGATATATCACAACAGAGTCTACATTGGCACGACCCCTGATCCGGTCCATCGTCTTCGTCAGCATAATGGTGAGATTGTACAAGGAGCGAAAAAGACTGAGAATGGTCGACCATGGTAACGACATTTGACATTTGCAATGAGTATATGTGGAAGCTGATAAGAGTCGTTTAGGGAGATGGTGATGTTCGTCTATGGATTTCCCAATGATAGTTATGCACTTCAATTTGAGTGGGCGTGGCAGAATCCTTTAAAGACACGGCATCGACAACGTATGACGTTTTGGGACAATGAGTACCTGAAGAATAGCTTGAAACACAAACAGTACTGCAACTTGCTGACCTTCAAGCTTCGGGTATTACTCGACATGCTCATGATCCATCCATATCGACAATGGCCTCTCAAGCTTCACTTTGTTGCAGCCGATGTACGTGCTTTATTCGACATTGTAGCCTCGACCATGGCAGGTGATTTGCCATCCCACATGACCCTTACCAGTGGTCCACTCGATACATCTCCAATGATCTCCTCCTCAACGGTAACTGGTAGCACAACAGCCGTCATTCGATCCTTTTCTTCTACCCGTTGTCATGTGTGTTTGGACCCCATTCAAGACATGGTAAGCATCACTCTCTCCTTCTTCCTTGCCTGTTTCATCATCATCATCATCATCATCCCCTCTTATTAACTTGTCACAGAATACCAAACACGACACATTTGTAGCATGCAACAACAACAACAACAATGATTGTGATATGGTTGCTCATCTGACATGCCTCGCTACCAAGTTCCTCGATGACGCTAAAGATCACCTGTCGTTGGTACCCGTGTCAGGCTCATGCCCTGATTGTCGCAAACAACTTTTCTGGGGTGATCTCATTCAAGATTTACATAATCGACATCGTATAGCATCATCATCATCATCCAAATAAAAACCCATCATTGTATGTAATCCATGCATTGTGCGATAGTGTATATTATCTTTCTTTGAACCAAAAAAGATGAGGGATGCATTGTGTAAATACATGTGTGCGTGTATAAATGTGTGAGTGTGTGAGTGTGAGTGTCTTTTTTTGTCTGTGCGTGGGTCTGCATTGCTTGGAGACAGATGTGCGAGAGGGTGATGGTGGTAGTGTGTGGATGTTGTATATAAGTTGTATATGTGAGTGAGTGTGTACAAGGTTGGGGGTGATGGGATGGAGTTTACTTTGTGGCAACAATAACTGAATGATGTCCACCTGCAGCAACACGCAAGACTTTGTGACCTTCGAGTTTTTGACCAGTCAACTTGACAGGAACAGGCTCATCCTCTTCGGATCCATTACCAAGGTTGGCCGATTCACCAAAGCCCCAAGTATAAGCAGTACCATCCGTTGTAGTGACGATGCCATGGTTACCACCGCTGCTGATTTGTTCAACGTTGCTGAGACCAGGGATCTTGGTGGGGAAGCCGACAGCACGCTTAAATTGGGACTTGTCATTGTCACCCAATGCGACGCGATTAATCTCTTCTTTGGGAAGACCAAGCTGGGATGAATCGGCACGACCAAAAGCATAAACATCGCCATTTTCCATCAAGACATAAGAATGATGCTCGCCTGCTACCATCGACTTGATGTCACCCTTTCCTTGCAATCCTGGAATCACGGTTGGAACGGTCACTTCGGTTGGGGTCTTATGATCCTCCTCGGTCTCCCAAAGGCCACATTGTTGGAAGTTGTTCAAGCCCCATACATATAAATCATTGGTGTGGCTCAATGCAAAAGAGTGATACGATCCCGATCCAATGGTCTTGATGTTCTTGAGACTAAGAGGCTCCGGCTGAAGACCGTTCTTTTTGCGACGTTCAATCACACGACGACCCAATTGGTATTGTTGACCATTGCCCCAGCTGAATACACGGCCATGGTTGTTAAGAGCAAGACAATGATCAGCACCAGCTGCAATATCCACAATCGTTTCCTTGGCGAGGGGTTCAAAAATCTTTGGCAATTCTTGCACAGCTTGCTTCTTGGAGAAGCCGAGAGCACCTTCAGATGACTAAATCGAACATAAAGAGTCAATACCATAACATGTGGTTGGAGGATGAACAACAAGTTACTTACACGGAAAGTACCCCAGCAGTACAATTCACCCGTATCCGAAAGAGCCATCGATACCGAATCACCACATGCTACCTTGGTAATGTTGACGCCTTCAAGGTTATGGACTGGAAGTGGCACGTACTCATCGCCTGGTCGTCCCAATGCTCCTTGATCATTGCATCCCCAACTCCAGAGCTACATCATCCAAGGCTTGCTTAGCTTCATCATGCTTTGTTTGTATACACATCCATATAGGATCATTTTTACCTTGCCGCCCTTAGTGATAGCAATGGTATGGATACCACCAGAAACCACATCACATATCTCTTCATCGTCAAGAGCTCGCAACGGCATGGGTCGTTTACGTCTCAACATTTCATCACCAAGACCGAGCTGGCCGACGTCACCATTGCCAAAGACAAACACTTGGCCGGCTTCCAAAGGCTTTTGGGGCAACGAGTTGATGTCGTGGAATGAACGCGAAGATGCTTGGCGCGACAATCCGACTGTTGAGTCACCTTGACTATTGCTGCTGACACGAGCACGCTTTGCGACAGGCGACATGTCCATTTGATCGCTCATTGTGGGTAGAGTTTATAGAGAAGAGAGTGGTTGTATATGTGGGCTGAAAGCAAACAGTAGACAAAATCAGCATCGGTGGCTAAATAAAAGGTATTCCGACAATGACTTGTATCGACCAAGAAAGAACGTTTCTGGTAGCATAATGACACGCATACAAACAAAATACCATACTTGATAACAATGAATGCTCTTTAATAAACCATCAAATCTCTCGATTTCTATCATCAAAATAAAGGACACATCCTATTTGCTCACGTAATAAAGGCCGTTTGAAGACTACATTTATATGCATTGATGATGAAGATCATGCAATACTACTATTGCCTTGTTTGTTGAAGAAGAAAGACTACTAGAGTGGGATGGGTATACTCGTTTCTATAATGCCATTGTCAAAAGCCAATCATTGATCATGAATAAAAAAAATCACGTACTATACGCTGTAATAGCAGTAATAGAAGGGATCATGCTACTACTCTTGTACGTATCGGAAGTGGACCATTTGGAGATAAATCCGGATGTTGCTGGTTTGTCAGCTACCTTTATCATGTTCAAGTCTCAAGATACCACCACCTCCTCCAACACGGCTATCGCTGCCTCTATCGTTGCTTCGATACTCGGCCTGCTTTATCTACGACGGAAGCTCATTGCCATGCCACTCTCAGACGATGAAAAACTAGAACGCGATCTTCTCAACGAGTGTAACTTATCGCCATGTCGCCCTTCTTCTCCTCAATGATACCCATTGTTGCTTACCATGTTGTTGCTTCGTGTTAGCTGAATCGCCACTCTTGGCCAATCACTCGCAAAGCGTTCAAGTCCGTGGACACAAGCTTCGAGTCGTCTATATACCATGCACCAAGCCTGAGGCACCCTTGATCCTATTTATCCATGGTTTAGGTGGTCAGGTAAGTACCGTGTATCCATGATCTCTATCAAGAAAATCAAGCGTTGCTAAGGAAACGGTATCGAATGTTAGGCATCACAATGGGAGGCACAGCTTGATTTCTTTGCAAAGCGCGACACAGCCAATTTGCTTGCAGTTGATATGCTTGGATGTGGGAAAAGTGAGATTTCAACAGAGTAAGTCTTTCATCTTGTGTCTCGTTGCTATGCGTCACTCATACATTATTCAGGTGGGATGCTTATCGTACACAATCGCTCGCCCAAGATGTGATTGCGGTGTTGCACAAATATGCAAAGGACGACGACGACGACAAGCAGCAAATTATGGTGGTGGGTCATTCTTATGGGTGTGCAGTGGCTACCTATGTTGCAGCTTCTTCCTCGATCAACAATATCACGACCTTGGTCCTGATTGCTCCCAAAGCACAATTGGATGCCAAGCAACAAAAAGGCAAACAATGGATCCGATACATACCCAACTGGCTCTTTGATCGTGGACGACGTGCGGATCGTCGAGGTGGACTATACAGCAAAAGCGTGAACCGGTTTCTTAATCCAGATGAGGAAGTAGATGATGGTATTCGGAGAAGGTAGGTATTATGAAAAAGAACAATGAGCCCAGCATCTGAATTGTTTGTCTTTAGACAGCTTTTTTGGAACTTGTCAAGTCGTACACTTGTATACAAGCGCTATGTGTATGGTGTAGATCTACCCACCAGCGACATATACAAAAAGATCACCGCAAAACAAGTTAAACTTATAGGAGGATCAAAGGTAGGTTTGGGGGAGAGAGAGGAGGGGGAATGAAAACAATGGGTTGTGTGTTAATGACATGTGTGTGTGTGTGTGTTTTCTAGGACACAATGGTACCGCCTTCAGATATGGAAATCATAAATCGTGCTTTGGATGACCACCATCAAGATCTCCCTTTGCTGGTTCAAGGAGCTGGACATATGCCGATGGTTACACATGCCAACCAAATCAATATGACGCTTACAACACTTGGCCATCCCTATTTCTCGTGTTAATGCAGATATTTTAAGCAGTTGACCACACCATCCTCTTTATAAAATCATCCTAACTTCTTTGGAGTACAATACCATCATTATTGCTTGTAAAGGCTCATTATGCTTTCTCTCTCTCCGTTCCCCTACAACATGTGACCCCTGGAAACCCCGAGAATGAGCAAAGAGTATCATGAAATCAAGCCCCCCATATATATAGCATAAAATAAACACTATCACTCTTTTCTTTTTCTCTTGATTGCATTATTCTTTTCCGATGCCGTGCTTTGGAAGCCGTAAAAAGAACAAACGTAAACCTGATGAGCCTGCTGTAGAGCAGATTCGTCAAGAATACGATGAGCTCAAATACAAGGTACGACACTCTCTATATATACATGTCATCCATGTCATGTACGCTGACGACTTGATACATAGGAAACGGAGCATTTGGATGTTATAAGACGTCAATCTGCTGAATTGGATGAACTACGTAAGCAGGTGCAAGATAAATCCCAAGATGATGCTCTTCAAGAACGACTACAACAACGAGAAAAGGAGATCCAACAATTGATGGAGAAGATTGAACAACAAAAGCAGACAACCAATGTGCAAATGGAGCTCGAGGAAAAAGAAAAAATGATACGCGACAAAGATAAGCAGCTTCAAGAGCTGCAAGAAAAGTGGAAAAATGAACAAGCTGCAGCAAAACCAGAATTGCAGCAAGTGACGGATCAACTTGATGAGCTGAAACAAGCAGTAAGTCTCTCACTCTCACTCTCTCTTTGTCTCACTTTTTCTCCTTAAGCATCCAATTCTACATTTCCCCGTTCCCCCTTTTTTCTTTGTATGATGCTGTATTGTTCACGCTTTAACCCCTCATTATCACTTTTTCCCCGATACGTGGGTTTAGAATGAAGAGGCTGTGAATCGACTTGAGGAGGCTGTAGGTCGACTCGAGGAGAAGGAGAAAGAATTAGCGGTGTTGCGTGCTCAACTCAATCGCCGAGATCGAAAACCAAAGAATGGTGATGAAGACCAAAAACGTCTCAACCGCCTCACAATGGATCTTGAAAGTGATCGTTTAATGATTCAAAAATTGGAGGAGCTCAACCAACAGCTTGAGGTAAAAAGCAAGGAGTGCTTCATCAAATGACATTAAGATTGACATGTTTGTAACACAGGCTCAAAAACAAAAACATGAGGCGATCCTTCAATCCCATGCTGAAGAAATTGCAGAGAAAGATCGTGAGCTTGTGCAACAGCAACAATCCTTGAGCGATTTAAAACAAACGCAAGAACGTGCCATCCGTAATCTTGAACGACAACAGCAACAAACGATCCAAGAGATTGAGCTCAAGCATGAACGTGATACTCGTCAACTTAAAGAACGTCTTGAAAATGCCGAGAGACGAGCCAAGAGTGACATGAACACTGAAGTTGAAAAGCTGTTGCAGGAATTTGAACAATCAGAGCATGATCATTCTGTACAGCTTGCCAGCCTTCACAAGTCGCATCAAGAACAAATGTCAGCCATGCGCCAAGGACAACAACAAGAGCTCATGAAGCTGACATTGCGTAAAACAGGTGGTCCTAACAAGGTGATTCGTTGGCCTGTTATGCAACATGATATTGAGCTTGTTCCACGTGATCCTGCTTGTGTACAACTTTACGTATCAAGCGTTTCAGCTAATCCTACCATCAAACGCAACCAAGAATCATTGCAAAATACATTCACAGCCAAGGATATCAAGTTCCAAGTGGTTGATGTAGCACAAAGCGAACCAGCTCTTCAACACATGCGTCGACAACAAGGCTCTAACAAGGGTTTACCCATGGTCTTTGTTGGTGGTGAATACCGTGGTGTAAGTGACATGGATCATCCATGCTTATAAACGCGCGTACTTACAATGATTTACAAATAGCAACATGAGGATGTGATGAAGGCTATCGAAAGCGAAACATTGAATGAGCTCTTACGTCCACGTGAAAAGTTGTCAGTTGCCACACCCTCATCCACAAAGAAACAATTGCCAAGGAAAACATCTCATTCTGGATCTGTATCATCGAATGAGCCCGTTACACCCACAACTTCATCCAACATTCCTCCTCCAGTGCCCATCCGCAAAGCATGCCATGATGAAGATGAAGACTTGCTACGAGAAATTGAAAAAGAATTGGCTCAATCTGATTTCTCAAAGGTGGATTTCAACTTTTAATTCTCATTGCCCCCCTTTGTAAAATGTATATCCACACATGCATTTTTGGTCTGAAAATGACCCTAATACACCTACCTAGCTCGTCCATCTCCTCCATCACCACCCATTTACATAAACATCCCCACCCATCCACCACCCCCTCTGCTTTCTTCCTTTTTATACGCAGTATCACAATTAAAATCACACGCACACACACGCACAGAGTAATACTTTTAAAAAGTCGACGCAAGCACATGTATCCAAATCACATATAAGAATAACTAAGGGGGGAAAGCAATCGTTCTTTCACAATGAGGCAAATATACAAAGGAATCCGGGAATGTATTGAGGAAAGGGTTGTTGTTATGGTGATGTTGTAGTGAGTGAGTTTTTCTATCTCTAGATGAATAGTATGGAAGAGAGGATCGTTGTCGACGTTGTTGTTGTGTTGTAGATGTATTGTTGTTGTTGTTTTGATGCTAGCGTTGTCAGCGAGTTGGATGTTGTGGGGTTGTTTACAACTTGACATTCTTTCTGAGAGATTCCTTGTACTCGGCAATGCTACCTTCGAAAGGCATGACATTACCGTTCTCGCAGCGCCAGATTTGTTGAGCAACTTGAGAGATAAGTCTAAAGTCGTGAGAAACAAGAACGACACCACCAGAGAACTCGTTGATAGCTTCAGCAAGCGAATCGATAGATTCCATATCCAAGTGATTGGTAGGTTCGTCCAACAAGATGATATGAGGATGCATCACAGCAAGTTCACAAAACACAAGACGCGACTTGAGACCATCGGACAAGTGGGCAATGGGAGAAGTTTGATGAGAACCAGAAAGACCATAGCGACCAATCTGTTGACGCCAAAAGGTGACTTCAGTGCTCACTTGAGGGAACTTTTTGCGCATGTAATCGATAGGGGAGAGATCCATCTCAAGCTGATCAGCAGAGTGCTGAGAGTACTTGCCGAGCTTAAGCGAAGTATGACGTTGGACACGACCCTCGGTAGGCATCAATTCACCGCTCATGAGCTTAAGCAAAGTGGACTTGCCAGCACCATTGGGACCCACAAGAGCAATACGAGAATCCATATCCACACCAAGCTCAATGTTCTTGTACAAGGCGTTGGCAGGGTTACCATCATAAGCAAAAGTGATCTCTTGGAAAGCAAGAACAGGGGGAGGCAACTTGGCAACATCCGTGAAGGAGAACTTGAACTTGTGAGGGTTCTCAACCTTTTCAACCAAACCAGCAGCCTCCATCTTGTCAATGATCTTTTGCTTGGACTTGGCTTGACGCACCAAGTTGGCATAAGTACCAGCAGAAGCAATGAACTTTTTGATGTGAGCAATTTCTTCTTGTTGCTTCTCATAGGCCTTGGCTTGGTTGATCTCGTTTTCCTCCTTGGTCTTGACGAACATGTCGTAGTTACCACCATAGTAGATCAACTTGCGCTTATGGTTCAAGTGCATAATGTTGGTACAGACACCATTGAGGAAATCTTGAGAGTGAGAGTTGACCACCAAGATACGATCATAGGTCTTGAGGTATTCTTCCAACCAAACACAGGCTTCCAAATCCAAATGGTTGGTAGGTTCATCCAACAACAAAAGAGTAGGACGGACGAAAAGAGCACGTGCAAGAGCAACACGCATACGCCAACCACCAGACATGTCCTTGGTAGCCTTAGCCATTTGCTTTGTAGTGAAACCCAAACCAGCGAGCAAGGTACAGGCACGAGTCTCGAAGGTAGCAGGATCCATGCCTTCGATACGTTCGTACAAATCATCCAACAAGGGGTTGTCGGCACCATCGTCTTCACCCAAAAGTTCTTCGACTTCCTTTTCAAGACGAGCAACCTCATTCTTGGCGTGATGAATGACAGCTTCAACAGCGTTCATATCAGAAGGCTCAGCCTCTTGATTCAACAAGTAGGTCTAAAATGAAAAGGATCAATGTCAGCCATCCATATGCACTTAACCCCCTTTTTTTGTGCTGCAATGCATCCCAATGTACTTACATCAATGTGAGGAGGAATCTCAATATCTCTGTCAGCAAGAGATTGGAGGAAAGTAGACTTGCCAGAGCCGTTGGCACCAAGAAGACCATAACGACGACCAAAGTTGAGTTCGATGGTAGCGTTATCAATCAAGACACGACCGTGATAGTTGAGCGAATACGACTCGATCTTGATATCACGACTACGCTCCTGAGAAGTATAAACACCAGTGGCAGTACGATCGACATTGATGCTGGCCTTGTTCATGTCGAGTTGATCAACTGAAGGTTGCTCAGCAGCAGCAGCAGCCTTAGCTCCACGCTTGCCACCACGACCACCCTTGGCTTCAGCCTTAGCTGCTCTAGCTGCGAGACGCTTTGCCTTTGATGCTGATACTTGTCCGCTCATCGTCGTAATTGGGAGGGGGGAAGTGAAGAGAGAGAAAAAGAGAGAGAGAGGAAGAGAGAGACTGGATCAAAGATGAGTCGTTGGAAGGTCCAAAAAAAAGTTTCGAGCCGTTGATGTGACTGAATTTCCTTTATTGCTACTAGCTAATGCTTCAGCAGTGCACAGGTGAAACCTATGACGATGTTGATATTGGCTATCATCCGCTCGTAGTGTATCAAATAAAAAAGGCATTCCATGTTTGAATGCATTTCCCTAATTGTAACCATCATTCATATCTTGTTGGTGAATAAAAGACAAAACATGCCTTCGACTCATCACCAATGAAAGATCATTTACCGATATGCAAGATCGGACGACAACACAAAACACTCACTCACCTCCTAATCGGAGTCACTAAGCAGAAAACCAAATGCTGCACGATGATTGGGTTCGTATTGGTTTTAGTGGATCTTGCTTGGCCCAGGCACATTGGTCAAATCTCGGCTGTCGGCTTTCTATCCGCACCGATTTGTGGGGGCCAACAAAATGAAAGCCATCACTTTCCCATTATGTAGCTTTATTCACGTCAGCCATTGGACACTTAGAATTATGAAAAGACAACCACGCTTAAAGCTTAAATTCAAGTTGCTATGGCTTAGGTATCCTTGGCAACGGCGTGGTTTCCATAGCAACAAAGCCATGGTGATATCCCTTTAGCCTCTCAAAATTTTTCGTCGATCCATCACGTGACAAAATGGCATAACTATACATCACAACCATCACCTTCAAACCTTTGGATATCAATTGGTCCTGATGGCAGCAAAGAACTATGATACCATGCCATCTACTTTGCTAGGACGATCGTGAGATACTAGTCATCATACGATAATAGCGAAGCCGACGTGGCTGGAGAAGGCTAAGGGTGGATTATTGAAAGCAATGGTCCATAAGGGCGGTGCATAAACTCACAGCAATGCAAACTCAGTTGGTGATGGTGCCCTGGATATTGTGTGACATTTGACTCTACTCGACGATTATATAAAAAGAGGATAGTGGACCCTACTTGCTCTCTTCCCTGGTTCTTTCCATCACTACGCGTATAATGCTCAGCTCACAAACAGATCAACCACAAAACTTGTACCAACTCATCTTTGAGACCAAGAATCCTGATCAAGGCTTCTCGGATGATGTGCCTTTGCTTATTGATGCCGAAAACACGGAGCGCTATTATACCTTCAACGAGTTGCGTACCAAAGTCCGTGCATTTGCCCATGCACTCTTAGGCCCATCTTTGGGTGTCCAGCAAGGAGATGTCGTTGCTATTTGCTCTCGCAATGATGTATGTATCGTGCTTTTGAAAGCGTTAAACCTATTAACAAGAGACCTGTAGATTGAGTACTACCCTGCTTTCCATGGCATTATGGCCGCAGGTAATGATGCTCATCTTTTTATTCTTGCTTGTTACGGGTATTAATCTATCATGAAATATAGGATGTGTTGCTTGCCCCTTACGCTCGTTCTTGTCGGCGGATGATATTTCTAGGATCTTCCAAATTAGTGATCCCAAGCTTGTCATTGCTCACATGGATACGGTACAGCTCATGTGGGATGCCATGAAGCTGTATGGCAAGCAACTTCCCATGCTCGTTATGGCCACAAAACAAGCACCATCTGGAACACAGCTCTTTACGGATTTCTTGCAGCCTATCGATGAAGAACAACAATTGCCACACGTCTCTCCCGATGCTCCTGCTCACCTTTTGTGCACATCAGGTACCACTGGAGCTTACAAATTGGTTAATGGAACGTGAGTAAAAGTGGTATTATACTTTGCATGACGGGGTGACACAAGACTAAACCTTTCATTTTTCAATCATCCACAACAGCCATGCTGTAGAAATGCGCCGCGTCAAATTTATAGCCGAAGAGGCTGATCGAGAAATGCTTGGCAGCAGCTGTGCTCTCACCGTGTTGACCTGCGGCAACTTTGCAAGTGCACACAATTTGGTCCATTCATTGCAACCTTGGCTGTATAGCCGTTACCGCCAGTATGTTACGGATAGCATGGATGAGAATGTGATATTGCGTTACCTACGTGAATTCAAATGTGCCTCCCCCAATGTTCTCCCATGTCATGTGTTGACTCGATTGGTGTACCTTATTCAATCCATTCAACAAGCTGGGGATGAGACCTTGGATTTATCATCACTCAAAATGTTGTGTGGTGCAGGTCAGCCTTTGGATCCCAAGGTCATTGAACGTGCTGCTGGAATTGTGCCAAACACCGATGTCTTAGTTTGCTTTGGTTCAACCGAATGTGGTTACAAATTCGTGCGAGCCATCAATGGAGCGTATCAAAGTACGTTATGCAACCTTAAATTTTTCCTCTTACGGGTAAATTCATGCTTGTTTACTTTTTTAGCTTACAAGGGCAAATACGCTCGTGAGAACGATGAGCGATTCGAATTCAAATTGGTAGATGAAAATGGAAAAGGTACGTGATGTGTAGAATGTTGGAGATGATGATGATGGGCTGATGTCGTATACTTTTTCCCGATCCTAGCTGTTCCACGTGGATCTCAAGGCGAGATGCTCTTCAAGTCTCCCATGATCTTTAAAGCAAGTATCACAAGCATATAGGTCACCGATCTTGTACAACATGCAACTTACACATTGAGTCTATAGAGCTACTACAACAATCCAGAAAAGACTGCAGAGTCGTTTGATGAAGAAGGATTCTTCCGCACAGGTGACATTTTCGTCATGGAGGAGGATGAACGTATCCGTTGGCTCGGTCGTGCATCCGAAAGAATCAAGACATATAACAAACCCGTAAGATTTCTCCTTTTCTGATATATACACGGCGCAATGTAAATTTAACAACATGTGGTGTTACGATTGCTAGGTTGTCCCAAAACCCATTGAGGACCTCTGTGTAAGCAACAGGAAGCATGTTATCGATCACTTTTACTAATATCATGTATACAATAGATGGCATTTGGAGGCATTAGAGAATGCGCTGCAGTGGGTGCGTTTAGCAAGAAGCGCGTGTATGAGCTTCCTCGTGTCTATATTGTCCCCGAGCCCGGTAATAATGATCAAGATCCGGAGAAGCTGGCCGAAGCCGTGGCTCAATTTGTAAATGAACGTGTGCCTGAAAAAGATTCCGAGTTGACTGGTGGGGTTAAAGTTATTTCTGCTCTTCCTCGTACAGCCGTAGGAAAAGTCAATAGATTCGTTCTACGACAATGGGCTCAAGATGAGGTGGAATAAGTGCACCTTTTCAATCAAGCATTCCAATAAAGTTACCAGCTGCTATATCAATACTCCCCTTTGTAGTCATTCAAACCACTAAAAAGAATGCTCTTTGAGATTACTTGGTTCTACTTATCATCGTTGGAATTATGCGAAATGCAACCACAATGCTTAACATAAAACTACACTTGAGTGTCTCATGATGCTACTATAATAGTAAGCATGCATTATTGTACCTATGGTCTCTTGCTGAAAGCCTTTGATCCACACGCCATATGAAGAGCTGAAGCAGAGTACATAAGAGTCATCATGATGCTACCACCACCTTAAGACTTAACATGGATGGATGAAGCAGAGGTGAGTGTGTGATCATGCAACTGCCAATGTCAAAATGTGCTGAAGGTATTATGTTACAGTGCACGGCCAATAAAGGTGTCTTGTCATCGGGTTGCTAGTTTAAGACACGTCGCATTTTACTATCCCTGATTGTAGTACACCTTCAATAGCTGTCATTTTATCTTTATTGGTTAGCGTTGATGATGATCGATCATCCATTTTAGTACCAAGATTACTCAATTAATCCTATAACTTCATGAGGAGTCAAATCCCGTATACCTCCTATTACCCGCGTAATGGTGCTATGATTGCATTCAACTGGTACGGCTGTTAAAAGCTAGCTACGTATGTGGCTGAATATGGCTGAGGCAGCAATCGGGCCATGGTCATACGAAGCTGCAGTATAGTATATTGCTTCCTGACGATGTTGTACATCACTAAGCCTTTTAGCGACAATGAAGAAGAATAGTATATAAAGAGTGGTGCTCCCTAAACGCTCTTCTCATCCCTCAATCACTGCACAATATCTTTAAATGCTTGAATCAACAACATCACAACCAGAAAACTTGCATCAACTTTTGTTTGGTAGCACGAACCCTGTGGGTGGTTTGCCAGAGGACGAGCCTTTGCTTATTGATGCGCACAACACGGATCGGTTTTACAGCTTTTCCGACCTTCGCAACAATGTCTGTGCATTTGCCCATGCCATCCTCGGTCCATCCTGTAATCTCAAGCAAGGAGACGTTGTTTCTATCTGCTCTCCCAATGACGTGTGTATTGCTTTCATTTCAGTACATTGCTCATGTGGTAACATTCTATTGCATAGATCGAGTATTACGCCGCTTTTCATGGTACTATTGCTGCAGGTATAGTATACAGCTTTTTATTCCTCGAACAAAGATGATTGACATTGCATAATATGCTATAGGATGTACCGCTTGTCCCTTGAGAGCCTTCATGACATCGGATGAGATCGCCGCGCTTTTTCATATCAGCAATCCTAAGCTTATCATTGGTCATCCAAGTACGGTGCAGCTTTTGCAAGACGCGCTAAAGTCATATGGAAAGGAGTTACCAGTGATTGTCATGGCAACCAAAGAAGCGCCAGCAGGAACACAGCTTTTTTCGGATTTCTTAAAGCCGACTGAACGTCAACAAGAACCATTGCCATCTATTTCACCCGAGTCACCATCACATCTTCTTTGTACTTCAGGTACCACAGGCGCATACAAGCTGGTTAGCACAAGGTAAGCGTTAACATGATGGTACATGGATACAATATTAAATGTGGACCTTATATGACCATAGCCACGACATTGAAGTACAACGCACGCTCTTGATGCAGTTAGGCGGCGATCAACCCTTCTTTGCTGGCAAAAAAGAAGTCAACGTGCTCACATGTGGTAACTTTGGAAGTTCGCACAACATTATCAGCTCGCAGCAGTCGTGGATTTATGGTCGAATTCGTCAATACATTACTGACAGCATGGATGAAGAGGTGATTTTACGCTACTTGAGCAAGTACAAATGCATTACTCCCAACATGCTTCCTTCTTTCGTCGTTGCTCGGTTGGTGAATCGTGTTGAACAATTGAAACAGGCGGGCGATGAATCACTTGACTTGTCTTCGCTCAAGATCATTGGTGCTGTTGGCCAACCCTTGGATCCCAAAGTGATTCAACGCGCATCGAAAGCCTTGCCAGGCACATTCGTAGTACTCATCTTTGGCTCAACGGAAAGTGGATTTATGTTCATGCCAACAATTGATGGAGCATACCCAAGTAAGTAGCACATGATCCAAATAGGTCATCATTTACCTTGTTGACGAATGTATATGAATCTAGCTTACGGAGGCAAATACACGCGTGAGGGTGATGATCGTTTCGAATTCAAACTGGTGGATGAAAATGACCAAGGTTGGTTATTAGACATTGTTCATAGGCAACAAGGCTGACATGACATGTTGTCGTGTATCATATAGTTGTTCCACGTGGATGCCAAGGCGAGCTTCTTTTCCGTTCACCCATGATAATCAAGGTATGTTTGTACTTTCCCCTGTTTCCTTCAGCGTGCAACTCATATTATTTGATCCTTGCTTTAGAAATACTATAATAATCCGGAAAAGACAGCCGAGTCTTTCGATAAGGAAGGATTCTTTCGCACAAGTGACATATTCGTAATGGGCGAGGATGATAAAGTGCGTTGGCTTGGGCGTGCATCCGAGAGGATCAAGACCAGTAACAAACCGGTAAGGTCATAAAATGTATGCGGGGATCATGCAGTGGATTGACAATAGGGTATCATGGATGATAGGTTGTCCCAAAGCCAATCGAGGACCTCTGTGTAAGTACTAGTAGGCATGGTAACATCACGTGACATATTCTTTTGCTCATACGTATATACAAAAGATGGCCTTTGGTGGCATTAAGGAATGTGCTGTTGTGGGTGCCTTTAGCAAGAAACGTGTTTATGAGCTTCCAACGGCCTATATCGTGCTCGAGGATGATAATCATCAAGATAAGGAAAAGCTGGAAGAAGCTGTAGCCGAGTTTGTCAACGAGCGAGTGCCTGATGAAGATTCCCGGTTAACGGGTGGTGTCAAGGTCATCCCGGAGCTTCCACGTACACATGTTGGCAAGGTCAATAGATTCAAGTTACGTCAATGGGCACAAGATGATATCGAGTAATGGTTGAAACAAGCGAGGAATGTCTGTGACACCTGTAATAAACCACATGGCAGCAGTGTTGTTCCCTTTTTTCTTTGAGCCTATCATCTAAAGATCACATGTCATGCAAACATCTTTTTATTGAAATCATCCCATTGGATATATGGGGTACATAGAATGACCTTTACAACAAGACGCAGCTACATCTATCCATCCATCTATTGATATGATCTTATCCATAATAGTCTCGGCGGGCGTGTGTGTGTGTGCGTGCGCATGTGTATAAACCCGACGCATGATAGGCATTCGGGGTCTCATCCAATAAGCGTTGCTGAAGTAAGCTGAGAGGTAAATCATTTCGTAAAGTGGAGGCCCAACCGACCTTGTTCTTTTCCCTTTTCTTGTGTATATTTCCCATAAGTGCTCTCTCCCTTTCTTCTCATTCACAACTACAAATGCTTCATGACCCTGACGACATTGTAAAGATACCTCGTGCCGAGTATGTCCAATGGTGCAGAGAACGACTGGATCAGTTCCACTACAATGCAACACCCTTCATGTCACCAAGTAGTAATACGGCAGCAGATTCAACGATGAACAGCAATAACCGATCGCCTACTGGGTCACGGTTTGGATACGCTTTGCCACATGAGATATTACTCGAAGTGTTTGGATACCACAAAGAATCGCAGTCGACATTATATGCAGTATCGCTTGTGTGCCGGCAATGGATGCTATGTGTGACACCGTTGTTGTATCGTCATGTCAGGATTTGGGATACGTATCGATGGGCAACCTTTATTCTCACATTGACACGCGACAAACGATCGTACAACTATGGAAAGCTTGTGTCAACGCTCAATCTTGCCAATGACAACGTGGGTGCATTGTATGGTAAGTGGGGATCTCGGGTTATACAAGAATCATAAAGCGATCGGGATCATGTTGCTGCTGCTGGAGTTGACGTATACGCAAGGGCCACATTGCTTACACCCATTTTTATTCTTAGGTCTTAATCATAACCATGTTCAACTCATGAACTTTGATACCAGTGATGATACCAGTACTACCACAATCACAACATTATCCACAATCTTGACCGAGCGGAGGGCATCACGAGATGAAGGACATCATGGCAGAAACCATGGAAACAACCCAACGACCACAACCACAACGACCACTACAACGACCGCAGCAAATGGCGCAAGGGAACACCAAGTGTTTGTGACAACGTCATCACTCATGCAAATGGCAAACACGTGCAAAGGATTGACGCATTTGGATCTATCATTGACTTCTATTGTGTACGACAGCTTGATTGTGGAAACGGGCGAATACCTATCCACATTGCAAAACTATGCCGTGCAGCCTGGGTTGACTCAAAAGTTGATTCCCATGGATCGTGTCATTGAAGTTATTGGTGAAGAGTGTCCAAATTTGAGACAAGTGATCATGCAACGTTGCGACTGGGGCTCGGCTCAAATCATTTGGTGGTGGGTGTCGCATTGTCGAAACTTGGCTCTCCTTGATGCTCGTGGCTGTAACAAATGCACCGTCAAAGAACTCGTCATTCGCCCTCTGGAAGGTGTGATTTATGTTGAGGATACAAGACGACCTGTACCCGAAGAAGAAATTGAGGATGAACATCATCAGGATGGTAAAGAATGAACGAGAAGGGATACAAAGAGAGAGAGAGAGAAAGATGACATAAACGTTGACATTGCATATCTATCTAGGCTATTTTGATACCAGTGTGCAACCACCAAGATGGGTACCAGCGGCACCAACCTTGTTAGCTCACACGGAGCCTGTTCCGGTGCCTCTTAGACAAGTAGTCCACCATATCATTTCAGAAGCAAAGGAGCTTGGTGCTAGTGATCTCGGTTGGTTCAATGCGTAATCCCATATTTCAAACCCTGTTGTATATATATTATATGCCTATTAGTAAATACATTCACCCACTTTTGCTTTGCTCTGTTACTATTTGTGCAACACCTTTTCTTTATCCGCCTATGCATATTGCATTGCTCTCTCTCTCTCTCTTAGAGTTGTACTTTTACCAACATTTTCTCATCAACTTACACGCACATTGCATGTTTGTTTTGTCTCCAAAAGATCATAAACATCACCACACGCGTCAAGCAAAAAGTTAAATTGATGGTCCATTCACACACATTTTTCATCATCTTTGTTCTTCTTCTTTCACATTACACACACACACTCATTTGCTGTGACCATGTCTACAGAAGAAACCAATGGCAAAGGCCATCAACAAGATGATGCTGATGAGCGTACAGCCTTGATACAATCATCAAGTCAATCCTACTCTACTCAGGAACAACAACAACAGCAACAGCAGCAGGAGGAGCAACAAATCTTGACAACCGTGGTGGATGTTGAAGCGGGTGTTGCCACGAATACGGTAGAACAAGAGGAGCGTCCCATGGTATCGGAGGTGTTGATGACCAAGACCGTAAAGAAAGTGATTCGCCAACACAGAAGAGCTCAAGTGTACATTTCGGAGCAATCATCATCAACATCCAGCAGCAGCAAACGCGTCAGCAAGAATACTTCTACTACCACCACAACCCCTTCCCCAGTCGCACTTTTGCAACGACGTGGTAGCAACACAAGTAGCAGCAGTAGCAGTAGCAGCGATAGTAGCAGTTCATCTAGCAGCGATGAGGAAGAAAATCAACGTGTGCCTATTGGCAATGGACATCAACGCGTACGTAAGCGTGATCAAATCAAGAACGCCCTCAAAAGTGCCACTCAACAATGGAAGGATAAACATGGCTGGTCAAGTTCATTGTTTCTTCAACGTCAAGAAGGCAATAATCAACAACAACAACAACATGCTGTGGATTCAAGTGAGGAACCCTTACCACCTCTTCCAGTTACACCATTGACGCTACCACCTGTGGAAGTGGACATTTATCGTGTCACTGGTGTTGCATCCGTATGCACGTTGTTGGCTATGGCGAAGAAGAATGATGAAAAGACACAACGATTGGCTATATCCACATTGCACCATAGCATCAAGGCAACGGCTCATACGCGACCCATGATTTTACGTGAAGTGCTTATTAGACCTCATCTCAAAGGGCTTTGTGCATTGGAGTGGGCGGTCGAGAACGAATGTCACTTGTTTTTGGCTGATCGTCTTGTTCAATCGGTGATGCATGTAAGTTCTCCTCCTCCTCTCTTTTTTCTTTTGTTTCATGTTGTATCATCATCATCATCCATTCCCACGCTAAAGTTTTACCTCTCTGATAACAACAGGATGCATGGTGGCTGTATGGTGCTGCAGATGACTGGAATAAGCAAAAACCGGACCAACATCCGTATGCTGTATGGAGTCCATACCAATGGATGCCTGATTATTTCGCAAGGTGGGCATCACCACGTTACCAAGCACTTGCAGGATTGGCATGTGGTATCGTTTATTTGGCTTTGCATCTTGCTACTGTTGCCAACGTTGATTATCAAGGCACCAACCACGTGCATCCATTTGAATACGCGTACTATGTCTTTGTTTCCTCGGACGCTTTACTCTTTTTTACTTGCACCCTTGTTCATCCTTTGATAGCGGCGCGTAGGCCATCCAGCTATGTCACGTTGACCACTGTGGGCTTATTGGTATCCTCATTTGTGATACGCTTTGTGGGTCTCTTTGCTATCCATAACCTCGAACGACAAGCACACCTTTTGTATTGGTCATACACACTACTTGCATGGGCAACACCACTCATGTTCTTCCGCGTGGTACTTTGGCATGACAATCTTTGCTGGAATGTATACAAGGCACGCTTCCTTGTGGGACGATGTGTTGTCGAGGCTTTATGGGCTATTGGTCTCGGTGTTATGGCACTTGTTGCTTTCTGGCTTGGATTAGCTGCTTTGCAACGTGATGATACGAGCGTATGGGCGATGCTCAGATACCTTGCATTGGGTGCATTGCATGCTCCTGCCATTGCCGAAACCCTCTACTTCCAACCTGTTGCTGCCGGTATCATGCTCTTTGTGTATCTTGTTGTGATGATCCTTCTTGTGGGTTCATTGATTGTAGCCTCCGTGCTTACAACTCTCATTGCTACTTATCCACATCTCGATATTGAGCACAACAAATTCCTTGCACGACGTGCATCCTGTCGCCCCAGCTATGGTGTGTTTATTCCCAACTTTGCTATTGGACTTGTTATTGGTGCGGTGCGTCTTTTGTTTACCAAAGTATTCAAAATGGATCCCAACTCCTCGAGTTGTGTTCTCTGGCTCGATCGCATTCATCAAGTTTTGTGGTTCATTGTCTTTTTACCCGTCATTGTGCTTGTAGCACTGATTGAGGGCATTGTATTCTTATATCACAAGATCAGATACTCTTTGTCGTCAGGTTACCATCAAATCAAATGAATAAAAGCACTATGAATGAATGGATGGATCATTTTATTCCTGCAATATTATATGGTGATGTGAAGCTAGCCAATGATGTGTTATCTAATGAACGTGCACGCAGGGCGGCTGTTGAAAATCGTCGTATCACACACACATGTATGTATCAAACAACGTCTTCCCCTGTTTTCGGCTTTTTCTTTAACAAGCTTGCCCCTGTTTTTCGATTGGAGACAAGGCACCACTATACATTGACATTCCCAGGGTAGGATCGCAAGCCATTTTATCCTGGGGGATAAACACAAATTGGGACAGCAATGGGCGATAACAACGAATGAACAAAAACACATCAGGAGTTAGCAAGTACCCAATTGGACCATGGCTGAATACAAAAAGAAGCTCTATGAATTGCAGCGTCAAGGCAACAACCGTACCTGTTTTGACTGCAACGCACCCAATCCACAATGGGCAAGTGTATCATATGGTATCTTTATCTGTCTCGACTGTTCTGGCATCCACCGCTCGTTTGGCGTGCATATCAGGTAATGAGACGATTTCATTGGGCCACCGCATCACTCACAATCATTTACGCCCCCCTCTCCAAATGTACAGCTTTGTTCGATCGATCTCTATGGATAAATGGTTTGATGATCAATTGCAAAAGATGGAAGTATGTGTTTATTATACACCCTTTCTCAAGACAACATAGGTTGCTAACAAAAGGGATCACAAAAAAAGATGGGTGGCAACAAAAAGGCCAAGGATTTCTTCGAGTCTCAGCCTGATTATTCAAGCACTATGTCCATGCATGAAAAGTATCACTCAACATGTGCAGCTCTTTATCGTGACAAGGTACAACCCATGGAATAAGGGAATGGATGGAATATTGACGAGTATACATACATAGTTGTCAGCTGAAGCTGAAGGCCGTAGCTGGTCGCCTAGCGCAACTGCTCCTATCAAAAAGACAGCGGCAGCACCTATTCGATCTCCTACAAGTTCAACGCCTGGTTTGGGATCCACCAATGGCATGTCGTCAACTTCTTCTTTGCGTAGCTCTGGTTCTCCTGCAAGTTTTGGCAGCAGCGGCAACAATGGCAACATGGTAAGCGACAAGGCAAGAAATGAAGCCTATTTTGCGCAACTCGGCAGTGCCAATGAAAGTCGTCCCGAGTAAGTAACAAAAAGGAAGGATTGATCTATTTCAAGTTATTGACAATGACGCCATCTGTCAATTAGTCATCTACCACCAAGCCAGGGCGGCAAGTATACTGGATTTGGTAATCCTGCATGTAAGTCAAGATGCCTATCAACAAGATGGATTTTTATTCATGCATGGCATAGTTGAGAATCGTCCTCGGAATGATGTGGCTTCACCCGATTTCCAAGACATTGTCAATGATCCCATGAAAGCGCTTAGCAAGGGCTGGTCTTTTCTCTCGTATGGCATGGAGGAGCTTGGCAAGGTGGCTGTTACAGGTGCACAAGCTGCAGCTCAGAGTGCTGGTCAATTGGGTCGCTATGCCAATGAACAATGGAATGATCCCAACCTACGAGACAATGTCAACCAATATGTGAGTTCCTTTACTACTAAGGTCGGTTTTATTTTTGTAGCATCAAGCCATGCTGGATTGGGAGAGAGAGAAAGAAAGAGAGCGAATTGGGATGTGGATCTGACAATTCTTTATGTGATCATTATAGACACGAGAACTGTACAACAGCTTTGATACCCGACCCTATCAGCAGCAGCAGCAGCAGCATGGCTATAATGATAATGATGGGGACTTTTTCAGCTCGACCATTTCATCCTTGCAACAACAGCAAGCTACACCTGCCAGCTCACGTAGTGCATCTCCATCAGGTTTCAATAACAGCAAGCCATCCTCGACTGCTGGAAGCACCACCATGCGTTCACGATCTACTCTTCGAGAAGCTACTGCCCGAAAATCTTCCAACAAAAACGATTCAGATGATGAGTGGGGTGGATGGTAATCAATTCACACCTTCAATAGTAGTCGCCCATTACCCACCCAAAGTACATGAATCACCATTTATATCATTTCTCTCTCCCTCCCTCTCTCATGTGGATGTTTAAGAATGTCATGGATTAGAATAAAACAGCACAGCACGTCCTTTTACGCTAATAATTAACTGAACAATGATGCGGATGAGTGATAACGTTTACAGTGGCCCCAGGTTGCTTCGCTTTTAAACTTGTGATTTCTCGTTGAATGGCTTATGGCACTACCTAGAGGTAATGATCTTGCAATGAGCTTGCACGTTGACGTAGTAGTTACATCACAATCTCGTATATAGTATTCATCTTACAAGGGCCTGCGATATTTGCCGTCCATATTTACAATAAAAGGCTATCTCTGTAACAAGGCATCATTGGATCGTGTCGCTTTTTTCCCTTTTGTGACATTACAGCAGTTAAAGCTTCCTAGTTCACTGCTGACAGAGAATAGACAATGGTGATAAACGTATCATGCTTACTCATGTCAAACTTTAGCATACGCTACATACAACCTTCTATGTGCACGAACCCTGACGGCAAACAACATCATCACTTGTCATTCTCCTCTTTTCATACAAGATACTTTCGGATGTACTGATCATCCTTGGGTCATGAACCATACCCGGGTTAACTCGAAAACGGTTCCATATGGGCTACCATAGGCGGACCTTGCTTTACGCAATAGGGGAAGGATCCACCATCATGCATCATCCACCAATAAGAACTGCCTTGTTCGGCTTTGTTACACAAAGAAGTCCTTCTTCATCGTTAGCTCCAGGATGAATGAGGCAATTGAAATGAACAAAGACCACTTTTATATACATCACGCTTACAGCATATGTAAAACATAAAGACGACTGTATCTCCAAACTTTACAATGAAACGTGGGGTTTTGAATAGAGCAATGTGTTCGGCTTGGCCAACAGCACCTTGTGTGAAAGTTTCACGATCAAGCTTGCCAATCCCAGATTTCGCAATGTCGCTACCAGCCAAACTGGATCTGGGGGTCGACCTCTTCGACGACGACGACCAAAAAATATTTTTTGGGCTGTTTGCGACATTGAACGTGAAACTTTCAC